CGCTCGGCGGGGCGGGAGCTTGCGACTCTCAGAGCTTACGCTGTACGCATTGGCCGAATGTTTTAGTGAAAGTTTTTTTTTGTTGCCTCCAGGGAAACGGGATATAGAAAATATTGACAATTAAGAAATAGTATGCTTTTTCAAAGTGTTTTTGTAACTTTAAAACCGGAAAGCTTTTTCGATGAGTTTTTTAAGCTAGATTAAATCTTGATTTCGTTTTGAGTTAACTGTTAAAACTTGTAATAATTAAACAGATTACCACCTAAGCCTTAATAACACTACGTACTAGTTGCCCACACCAGAGGTTGTTCTGTAAAAGCTCACAATATGTAGCCTTAGAGCTTTTCAAATTAACAATTAAACATTGCGACAATAATTACAATAAAAAGGATTATCGAAAGTTAATTAAAAACAAATTAAAAAGTATTGTAACTCAAAGTTGATTATTTACAACAAGTAACGTTACACCACCGCCCTGAACAAGTAATACTGTTATTGGCTATTAATAAGAGTTCAACGATCATCGATGTATTTCCAAGTGATAATAAAACCTATTATGAAGATATTTAGCAGAAGAAACGTTGTGCTATATTATTATTATTTAATAACAGCAAACTTAGTATGATTAATATTTTTATAGCATGTAAAGAAATGGATCTCTGTAACAAAATGTTTCAAGTGCTAACGATTAGAGGTTTGAATTTTAGAAGTTACTACATTTTATAAAGAATATATTCATATTTCAGCTGAAGTATACGATATCTGTTTTAATTACAATAAGGGTTTGAGAATTCGCAGAGTAAAGATAAAGTAATTAATTATCTCGCGGGCAGTAAATAAAGGCCTGGCTGTTAGTGCGGTGCGCGGCCGACGAGATCTCGGCGCTACAAATCATGCACTTTCCCCTGCATTCGGTTTGTAAACTGTTACGGCGATTTATTTAAACAATTACTTGATCTTATTAATTATGCAGACTTTAATGGATAGTAAACTAATAAGCTTAGCGTCTCAGAATGCTTGTAGTGACGAATTCGAAGACTACTGAAGTGCTAGCTAGAAATGTAAAGTTTATAATTAAAATGATTAAGGGTCTGTCCCACCAAATACTAAATTGATAACAATCCAACGTGTCAAATATGTGAAGGAAATATCATATTTTGTTCCCTCATCTGACAGTGACGTCACTTTTAATGCATCTGAACCTCTATCAGTCAGTGGTAGAACTGGCGCTAAATGTCTATAAACACAAGAAGGGTACGGTTCCCAGACATCTTTGTAAGAGATGAAGGAACTGTCATATTGTACAAATTACAACTGGAATTATTGATAGTACACGTATCTTTATAGAGTTTAAATATGTTACGAGTTTTTGATCGATATAAACGATGGTTGAATAACACATCTCACTTTCATTACAATAATCCGTGACAAAAAACTCAAATGAATCGATTATTCATAAGATTAAATAATCGATTCATTTTCTTGTTTACATTGACATGCAAACTTTTCGCATCGTTGACTGCGACCGGGAAATCGATAAATAAATCGAGTCGATATCTAGTGTTGCCGTTTTATACATTTAAATGTCGAGACAACAATTAAATGCATTGCGTATTCCTGGAATTGGATTATAAATATATCGAAACATTTCCCTTTGTAATTCAATTGATAACGATCTACAAAGGAATTTTATCTCGCAGAATAACTCTATCCGTGAAACTCGAATGCCGTAATTGACATATATTACTATTTTTTTTTATTTCAATGGGAATGTAAGCTATGTCAATCTATACTCTATACTAATGTAATAAAGCGTAAACACATACTACTTTGTGGCGTAGGATGTCAGCAATTACAGCATATTTTTGAATATCGTTTCTTTAATAAAAAGCCCTGCAATTACAACACGCTTTAGACTATACATTATTACGCTATTTAACTTGGGGGGTAAATAAATCGAAAAAAACTTTCGTGGGGGAATGGTACTGTAAACTGCAAGCTGCCAACATTAAGGAAGCAAGTTTGTCATTTGTGCATTTATATTTTAATTTTTTTGTTGAAAATTTGACAAATGTAAAAAATTAAATAAAGTCCTCATAATTTCACGCACGAGAACAGCCAGCATAAATATAAAAGTGCTTCTAAGTATATAGTATCTGCATGTGCTACTTATTTATTCTCATTCTTTAATGGAAATGTTCTATCCGTTCTATAATGCATTTGATTAGTTGACAGTTCCCGATAGGATGTTTTAACATGCAGAAACCCTAATATACTTATTAAAAATTCTAACCTAAAATATAATGTTACAGTAATCATACTAATATTATAAGTGCGAAAGTAGAATCTATCACGATCATCTAGGATGGATACAAACTCTAACAAACATCCATCCATGTTTGTTACAGTTTGTAGCCTAAACGGCTGAACGGATCTCGATGAAATTTGGCATAGTCGTAAAGGATTGTCTGGAAGAACACACAGGCTACTTACTTTTATTTTTTTTTTAATTCCACGCGGACGAAGTCGCGAGCATAAGCTAGTTTACCATAAAACTAGAATTAAAATCATTGTATCATTACTTGCTTATCATAGAATATGAGGGAATTATATGCGGGTTGCGTTCTATCAAATCTCATTCAATTCAAAACTTTAATTACACTCTATTTAAATAATAAATTAAGTACATCACAAATGACTTTATCTTATGATTAATCATAAATACAATTGAAGACAATTTATCTGACCATTATGGACATATAATGCGGCTGTAAATTATACGAGATAATAATGACAGATGTCAATAGTTTAATGAATTTGTCAGATGTTATTGATTATTAAATTATTGAATATAGGCAACTAAACAGGTAGCGATTAAACTATCGTCAGATAAAAAAGAGTCGTATAAGTAGTCAGTAAAAGATTTTATTTACATTTTTATAATAATAATGATGAAAATTTAGATTCTTTCACATATTCTGGTGCCTCAAGATGATTAATAAGATGAACCCTAAACTCCAATTCTTATAAAAGTTTCTAAAATTTGATTGGTGTATTTATATTTATATCTCCGTTTTTATACAGTTTATAAATTCTAGCTTTAGTTGAACTAAACCTCGTATACTAAGGGTGTACACACACCTATTACTAAACTATCGCACAACTGTTTAGTCGCGCTTTGAATCCTATGAGTTTATATGGATGGAGGTGCGCACACTATTCGATTTTTAGTTGTGCAACTAAACAGTTAAATTGGCTGCAAAACCATCGACAATCGCACAACAATTGTGGGATAGTTTAGTCAAAGATGTGCGCTTACTCTTAAAATTAAAATCTTCATAATACACGCAGTAAACACGATTCACCGTCTAGACGAGAACATTATCATGAGCTGAAAATCCTAGTATTCAAATCTAATTTACCACAGTTGCAGGTAAACATGCTTCAACAGTAAAACCAACTCAAATTCCACACAATAAAGTACATTATCGCTTATCTAACAAAGCTCCATTCTATCAGAAGAAAAAACGTCGGGTGCTGAAAATTTAATTAAAATGATACCAGCGTTAATAAAAGTGCAGACAGACAAACAGACAAGCGGCTGCGCTCGTTTGCGAATAGAAAAAAGACGGGAGGATGAATTGATGGCTCGCTACGGTTGAGTGGCAAAGTACCATAACGCAGGGGCTCCTGAGATTCCGTGCGTCTACACACGGCTCCGTAGGATTTAGATAATAGGGGAGCTTTGTTAATACTTAATTAACTGCCGCTTAATATTCTATTGGAAATGTGCACATTCCAAAATTTTTAATATAATTTTTTACACATTTACTCATTATTAAAGGACCTGTTAACGCTTGAGTTTTTGTAAGATTTAATTTAGGAAGCTTCGCGAATACTTGCCTTTAGTGTTAAACTTAGGACTTACTTAATGATATCTAAA